CGAAAGTAGTTCTCATCCCTCCACTTGGAAATGATGATGCATCAGGTTCCGACTGTATCAACTGACTTCCGTAGGACTGAATACGCTATCGATTAAGACAAGCTTTCTTGTTATAAACGAATATCTGCTTTTTTGTAATTTTACGTATCGCTATTAAATAAAATTTAATGAATCGTTGAGCAATATTAATATACACTACCTGGATAACACCCTGACAAAATAATTACTCAAAAGTGTACATATTAATTGGGATTTTTTATATGTTATAGTCTAGCTTCTCCTAAATCTTTGTATAAGACTAATACTTTGTTGGTCAGCCCTGCTTGCAATACATGCTTTAATTCTACGAGGCATACTTTTAATTAAAACATCATTAATATTAGGATTTGGTCCATTCGTTACTGTAATGCTGTCTCAAGTTTCCTTACATTTTTAGGCAAACTTGAACGGTTTCTAATACGACTTTCATCACTCCAAACAACAAAAACTCCACTGGCTACCATTTCCAAAGGTTGTTACACTACTCAATAGTAATCTGCGTACTCCTAAAATTGAGGCCCTGCGGACTTCCATTTTCGAATAGACAATCCATTCTTTCAATACACCAGTTTAGCTGTAAAGGGTTGGATGTCTGTATGCGAGAAAAAAGAAAGTAATAGTGGTCAGCAAAAATATTGTTGAAGTAAATCTCGCAGAATAAAAAATTTGGATTTAAACTGTTTAAAAGCACCCAGATATGTTCTAAAAAGAGTTGTTGCGGTTCTTATGCTTCAATGACATTTATAATAAATTTTAAAACTTAAAGTTCTAATAAGTAAACTAATTACAGTATAATAATATCTTGATAAAAGACGCAGGCTATATTAATATTAATACGTCAGATGTCTTTTTTGCAAGAAAATTAATCTTAGCAGTACTAATTAAAATATTTACAACAATAATAATAACAAAAGCTAGCTCGTTTACAATTTTGTTTTAACAATTTAGACTATACTTATTTTGTCCCTTTATTTCAAGTACAATTTGTTATCACGAATAACATTAATTATTGCCAAGTCTTTAATTTATGTGTAAAGGCTTTTTTGGTAGTTTTAATAGAAACGTCAAGTCCGGTTCTTTTATTAAACAGATTTTTGAGTTCCTTTGTCGTTTTATGCTCAAAATTTAGGTCTTAGTCTTGGGCGAGCAAGTACGTATATGCCAGAAGGAAATTAAGAAAATATTTGCGGACTTTTTCTTTAAATTGTTTCGTATTATTGTTGTTCTTGGAAAGTAAGTTTTTAGATATACACATTTTTGTAGCGCCACTTTTAATAATTTAGTCACCTTCAGCTTCAGTTACTTACTAAAGAATTGCATATAAACGTGTGAAAATATATGCGCGTTTTACAAGTTAGACCCCAATTATTATGTGTAATTAGTAGAGTTACTGTAGGTAGGTGACTGATACTTTGTCCAAGTAATATACAGTAAATGTTTTTTTATTATGTTTCTGTTCACGTGCAGAAAGTTAAATTAGTTACACGACGGGTCGCGTTTTTTAAAGAAAGAGATCCATCCTATGGTATTTTGATAGAATGGTGCGACTTATTGGTAATTCTTGAAATGCTAGTGGTATAATTTATCCTATGTCTGTACTCAACAAGTTTGACAACTATTAGATATTGGAGCGAACTTGACGGATCCGGTATTCCGTGGCAAATATCGGGATAAACAAGTACATGCTGGTCAGTGTTCTCTGTAGTTTTGATAACATGTCGAAAGACAACTACTGACATCAGCGACGCAGACGACTTTTCGCACATGTTGACGAGAGCCGGCAACGCAGGGGTTGAAAAAATTATTGTTACCAGTGGATCAGCAAGTGAGAGTAGAGACGCTTTAGATTTGGTCCAAGGATTTGGTAACTTGCTTGACCTTTGAAATAATATTGCAACGCTGTGGAGCACACTATGACAATATAGTTGTATTGATCACAAAATGCTCGACTGACTTTAGATAATCTCTTTTCAACCGTTGGCTGTCATCCAACCAGATGTCAGGAATTCGAAGCAGATAAAGATGGCCCCGAACACTATTATCAGACTTTATTAGACGTAGCCGCAGACGCCAAGGAAAAGGTGGTGGCCGTTGGTGAATGTGGACTCGGTGAGTATATCTATATGAAAGAACTAGTTTGATTTACGGTTGTTGATAGCCGGTACTCTTGACGCGCAGACTATGATAGATTGCACTTTTGCCCAAAGGACATCCAACTAAGGTAAGCGCTTAATTACTTGCTTGTCACGATGCATTTATTTGCGAACTAATCCGAATTGCCTTTACACAGATATTTTGAGAAGCAATTTGATCTCGCCGAGCAGACTGGTCTTCCAATGTTTCTTCATTGCCGTAACACAGGTAATTGTCAAGATAAACTTATGAGGGATCCGTCTGTTCTTAAGGCTTACTTCTCGTGATCAAATGACTCACTCTTTGTGCGATTAGGCGGTGACTTTATGGATATCTTTTCAAACTGTCTTCCATCTTCTCAGCTGTTATAATTGCGACTGTTAAAATCTTTAACGATAATAATACACATATGGTGCAAAAAAATAGGCACAAATTTACAACAGGGGTTGTGCATTCTTTCACCGATGGATTTGATGAAATGGAACGTGCGATTTCAATGGGATTGTATATTGGCATCAATGGATGGTTAGTACCAAATTCTTTTGTAGGAAATTTGAGAGTTAACGAGGAACAGCAACGGTGATCTTTTTATGAATTTCCTAGCTCACTCAAGACCCAAGACAATCTCGATGTAGCCAAGAGAATACCCGAAGATAAATTGATGATAGAGACAGGTAATCGAGAGAATTTAACGGTTGTTGATATTCCCTAACTTGTCGGTTTACCTATTAACGCTTCTGTTGGTTAGATGCGCCATGGTGCGACATACGCCCAACTCACGCATCTCATTCTCATTTAAAATCTATTCCCAAAACTGTACTCGATGTTTACGCTCCGTCATCAAGACGAAAAGAGAGATTCCAAGAGGGATTAATGGTAAAAGGACGAAACGAACCTTGCTGTGTTGGGTGAGTATCATTGTTAGCAAGCACATTATTATTAAGTCTAGACTAACCGACCACATGATTAAATCCATTCTTGCAGTCAAGTACTACACGTGCTTGCATCAATCCGCGGAGTAGATGCCCAACATCTTGCAGACAGAATATATGAAAATACCGTGCGCGTATTCTTTACACGTTGAATAGAATGCGTATGTAAGAATCTTATATGTAAAACAATTGAGAAAGGAATTGATGCATAACTCCGCAATTTGAGAATGCGTAGAATAAATTCACGCTAAATGTTAATAATTTTCGAAGAACACGATTTTATTTAAACAATCGAAAGGAATTTGTTTTCATACATACGAATGACTATATCGCGTTTTTCAGCTCTATCGCCCATTTATTCTCTGTAGCTGCTTGTCTTTTAAAAGTGGAAAAAGAAATGACCGAAAAAGTATCATCGTAACTACGAAAGAACCTCATGATCAAAATACTATGTAGCAATCTACGTGAGGAAAGGCTGTTCATATCCCTCATACCAGATTCCTCTTATCCATTCTGCGAATTCCACCACCCAATGATCAATCTCCCTATAAACACGATCGGAAGACTGCAACTCCCCGGATGAAAATGCACCTGATCATGTTGACAATGCTTGCAGAATATCGCATTGGACGAATAACAATTAGAACCTAATATTCATCTGCGTAAATAGTACTTATTAATGAGATAATCGATAGTAACGTTTGCCACCATTTATTATGTATATGACTACTTTTGCAAGCTACGCATATAATCTTACGCCTCGACAATATTCCCTCACATCGTTACTACTCTCTTATGCTGACATTGTGCTTGAGAATAAAATACAGTATAAATATAATATAACATATCGAACATTATCCCGATTACAATTAAATGAAGTCACAAACTGAAATTGGCAATACCGTCAGTCAAGATGGTTTTACAATACACATCACTTACTAACTACCTTACCAGATTTTTACTCCTCCAATATTACTACTGTTATGTAGACGACGACCCCTGAAATAAATCGAGATGATAGGGTAACATTAATAACGCTGACATCAATCACACCTGTTGTCACTGTCAACTCTCCCAAATTCTATCTTTTCAGCACTCACTTTGGGGTAATCTAATACATTCACAGCTTCAACAGCTCGATGCATTCCGTCATCATCCTCGAATGCAACAATGTATTGGCTCTTTTGTGACCCTGTTTTGCTTGGCGGCGTCACCACTTCCGCTTTGTAAAAACATGTCGTCAAAGGGTAAAGTGCCAATACTGTATGATGAGCCGCGAAATACGGAAACTGTTGTCCGGATTTTGATAAGGGTATTACATGTTTGGCTGGAACTCTGAATCTTCTGTTAGATTCAATAGATAAGAAGGTAATTAGAAAGCTTCGGATTGACGCTTGTACAAAGCATAGGAATGCAGTCGGTATTAAAGAAGTATGACGTACTCGTTCGGCGCTTTGCCGGCAGATTCTTCGTCAGCATCTTCAACATCGTATCTGTTTTAAGAGCCGGAAGAATTCACAGCAATCAGAGTTTTCATATTAGTTATTAGTGCATATTGACTATACCTTTTAGCACCATTGTCCTCAACTTACGTATTTGAGTCTTCATTATAAGCTATAACAGTAGCTAGTATCCAGTTCTCTTCCGGGTCTTTAGCTTTTGGTTGCTTTGCTGCCACCTAACAGTGCGCCTTTTAGTATAAATTATCGAAATTTATAGATCCTTCGACTCTTACCATTTGCGCAGGCAAAATTGTATTAGTTTTTCTCGGTCTAAAAGATTAAAAGAAAATTTATCAAGATTATAATACGTAAACGAATATCGAACGAGCACACATTCTTGATGCATACGTTTTCAACTTCTTCGGTTTTGGATTATCTTCCTTAAGCTTTCTTTTCTTAATTGGTGAGCGACTCCCATCGTCTAATGTCGTTGATATGGAAGATGACGAGAGCGACGCATTGAAAGAAAGCGAATTTGATGCGGACGGCCGCGAATCTATGAAGAACATTTCACAGTAAATACTGGTAATCAATCTCATAAACGCTTTGACAGTCAAAAGTGTACCCTTGGGAGATTTGCGACTCTCTTTGGAACGCAAAAGCGTCATCAACTGATCTATCTCTTCGGCGAGTTGCTTTGCTGTACTATAGAATAATGTATGTTCCACCATTAGTCTGGAAATAAATTAGAAACTGGATCAACACATTTTGGATATTGTTTTACCTAGATTCCCTCCTTGATGTTTCAATCCCCTGATTACACAATTCTCTCATTTTAATATGCAAATTCTGTCGTTCCTCTTCATCATTCGCTGACTCGACTTTAAAGAAACAATCAATTGTAGTCAAATCAAAGAACGGCTCATTTATTGTGCGCATAGGCAAACACTAACGTTCGTTTGCTTTCGCGACCAACTTATTGACCTGTTCGGCCAAATCGATCCCTGTCTCTTCGTGCTTCTCAAGAGTCTCTTGAAGGGTTTGAATCTTCTTCCAAAGCGCCCACTCTTCTTCGCTTTCTTGTGGCTCGGAGCGGCGATCTTGACGATCGGGTTTTTGCTTCTTCAACGGTGTAGGAGGCATATTAATATTTTGATCGTCGATCGCTTGGGCAAATTAAAGCTTCCTTATACGAGAAACGTGAATCCAACACTGTACGTAATAATAACAAGTAAACCAAGCAACAACGCGTGCTTTCCCAATGCTTGCGTTCCTTGTATAATATTCTTGAACATGGATAGAAGTTAGCGTGCGCTACGATTGGTTACGTATTGCTGCGCCAACAGGTGCACTGAGAAACTGTCATAAAACATACTAGTACTTTTGATGCTTCTTTCAGTGTTATACTGTATGTCACATGACCAACACAGATCATCGTCTCGCAAAGGTTACTTTTGTCTATTTCCAAAAAAAGTGTCTGAATAGACATACGTTTTTGATCGAATTCGTATAATAATGATGGCTGATGACGGGTTGAGGGAAAGACGTGTTACAAATATGATATCAAAAATTCTTTATTTCATGTCTATCTATCGGAAAGTGGTTGAGGCTCTCTTGTGAATTCGGAAAGAATGCACCCAAGAATAGGTAGTTGGTCGATATACTGTATTGTCTAATATAGTATCATACACATTACGTCTACCCGGACACTGTTTATTGACAAAGAAGAAGAAGTGAATGATAGATTTTAATACACCTTTCACCATGCGTATGACTCTCTCTGAATGCATGTCTTTAGCGTAAGGCAACGAGACGAAACTGTTACGCATATTTAACTACTCTGGGTAAGTCTGTCGATGATGAATTGGAAGTGCCTGACGATGAAGAACTCGTCGAAATGGTATAATATCGAGCTATTGATAATTATTACCAATGATGCTGTAAAACAGCTTAGAATCGTTCGTTCGCTTCTGCAAAAGAAACAAAGACTCAATGTTAGATGAATTATTTAAAAAAACGTACGAATACGGTAATTGATTTACTCACCCTTTCTATAAAGGCAACATACTAGCCACTCAATGACAATTATACGTGCAAGATGAACTTTAAAAATATTAAACTTAGTGATAATAATACATGGTTATAAACAAAGCCTCTCATTGAGTATCAACGTAACACTGTTTGCCATTGCTTACGAATTGTGTTTAATATTACTGCGCTAGCGTTATTTGTTATATACCCATTATTACCTTCCTGTATCGCTCAAACTTTTCGAAGTAGAAGGTTTTTATTAGTAAATCTATTAATAGGAAAATTGTGTACCCTATCGAGTTACGACTTATAGAAAGATCTGTATTACAGAAGTTACACGATATATGGATTAAGAAGTTGAACTCTATAAAAAAACTTGTGGCGTGCATTCGCTTCATTTATCATTCTTGCCAAGCGAATCGGAACTTCGGGCCGTGATTCGATCAAATCTTGGCACATCATAAAGTTATAAACTGGTAGAATGACCTTTGCTCGACCTGCTAACGATATTTGACTCGTTAAAATATTGTTTATAAGACAAATAGCAACAGTCATTAGCCTATTGGATGATCGCGTTGGCCTAATATTATATAACGATTAATATTCTCATTATCTCGACAGACTTTTTTAATTCAAATTAATAATGACAGACTCGTCTGCTGAAAAAGTTCTTGCAAAAGCACGCCATCCAGCGGGGACTTCCTCGCATGAAGAGGATACTCCACCTCCATATACACCTATTGCAACCGCTCATACAGCAACTGTTATTTCTCCAGCTGGCAATGATCTAGACCTGTCAAAGCTTGAAACTGGTCGTTCAACTATAAACACATCCCAAAATAGTAGACCTTATGTCACTAATGTCACTCCCCCTCCTCCTCTGCCTCCTCTTCTTACGCGTAAACAAGGCTGTTGTACTCGTTTCTGGACATCAGTATTCGATCCAAAAGCATGGACCAGTGTCGCTTATTATTTGTTCGTCTCTCCGGTGGTTTCACTATTCGCCTTTATTTGGATGTTGACGACACTTGTTGGAGCTATAGTATCTTTGTTGTTTCCGCCTCTTGGATACTGCTTCTGTATTGGAACAGCGTGGTCATGGAGGTAAGATTTCGATTCGATGAAGTTGTAAGAACAACAATTTATAGTGCACGTTGTAACACACACCGACAAAAATCTCTTCTTCATTTAGAGCTCTCGGTCGTATAGAACTGATAACGATTAAAATGTGTACGCACCCAGCCCGCCTTTTTGGTTGCTCTTCAACACGCCTTTTCTCTACTTACGAGCTTCCACCTCGCGTATTCCATCCCGGCTCACCCCAAAGCCCTGCACCAACTTATGGGGCAATGCGTTATGCCGTCAAAATTTGCTTTGATAAGTTTACCTGGATGTCTTTCTTGTATTTCACATGCATCAAAATTTGGATTACCATTCTAACGTTCACCACCGCAGTCACGTTGTTTAGCCTGGCGTTTCCAATAATGTTGATATTTATGCCGGTGCTGTGTACTACTTGTAGATTTATGGGAAAGGTGGAGGAGAAGATAGCTGTAGCAGTTTTGCTCAATTAAATGAATGAAGCTTTTCGTATTGTGAAAATGTGAAAAGAATATAAACTGTTAGACTTAATTATGCTGTTGATTGTATTGTGTTCATAGTATAAATATATAAATATATATAACACACGAAAACAACCCAAATATAATATCTAGACGATAACCGCTTCACTTGTATCATTTAAGCTTTATACGTATTGTAATAAAATTCAATTGCAGATACGTGATATTATCAATTGAAGTGGGGTCTTCTATATTTAGCATTTCTCATTTATCGTTATTATTATCGTTATTGTTATTAGTTAATCATACGTTTACCTCTATTTTGACTGAATAGTGTAACGATAAATAATACAATCTAGTAGCGCCGTCTTTAATCGTGCTGAGAACATGTAAATTTATAAACAGAGTTTATCATTATTGCTTATACTGTGGTCGATTATTCGTTGGCAGAAAAGGAAGACGAGTAACCACTGGCTAGGATTATCAGTTTTATTTATTACTATATTGCGCTATTGTTCGCCGCTTTCCTTGTCCTCCATTCTCGACAATGGCCCGAACCGACTCGTAGGCGAGAGCATTATTTATCTACAAATAACATAATAGAGTGTTATAATAAATGGGCTTGTTATCTATATCGTCGAGATCTGCTAACACGAATACGGAGATTTGCAAAAAAAAATATTTAACCAGCATTTCAAGTTGCATAAGATATATTAATATTAATATGCTTGAAAGTATTAAAAAGAATAACAAGCAATACAAACATGTTTACATAAAGTTGTGATTTTTATATTGGTATGCATCTGAGGGACATTCAAAACCTGTTTTAGTGAACAAAGAAGCTGCAACAAAACCAGACAAAGTGAACATTTTATAAATGAGACCAGTGTGACTGATGATATTGTGAAAAGTAATAATGGTGCTTGTTCGAACTTATGGACTTGTTAATTTTAATGCGCACTTTATCATACCAGAATGGGATGAATATAAACCATAACATGATTGGTATAGGATTAAAAAATATTGATATAAAACTAATCTACATTAAGTCCACTATGGAACCCAAGAATTACAGCACCATAACCATTAGTATTAGAAACATTCTGAAAAAATGAGGTAACTATATTAATATGTTTTTAAAAAAAAATTAAAATAACGAAATGAGGCCAATTTGAACTGATTATGATAAGCTATAAAATATTTATTATGAATAACATAAAGAATAAAAAGTAACATACTGTGACGCTGAATACCAAGACTATGCTGATTACGATGGCGAATTAGAAAAGCTCAGAGAGAGCCTGAAAAACTCAGTAACACAAAGTCTATAGAAAGTAGCTGAAAAAGGCCATGAGAACTAGTCAGCAAGTTTAATAAACCTCTTGACCAACCAGTTTAAATTATAGAGTATTTAGGATAAAAACAATTTTACTCTCAAAATAAATTACCTGTTGAATTAAATCTAATCGTTGAATAAATGGTAGTTGCTGATTATACTCACCCTCCCAACAACTGGCATATAATAATAATAATAGTAATAAGAAATTATTTGAAAGAGACAAAAAAAAATACTTAAAAAAATTGCTAATTGTCAAAAATGTATAAATTATTTGGAAAGAGAGAAGTGAGAATATTTAGCTAACCTTCAAGAGGCGTTAAACACCAAGATGCCTGAAAGAAAATAAATACTTGCTAAAAAATTTAATAAATGGCGAGAAAGACAAGAGAATTATTTAAACCCTCATATTAATATTAAGCCTTTACTATTACCTTCTTTGCCCAAAAAACAAACCAGAGTCAAATTGTTAGCTAATAAGGTAATTCAATTCCAGTGGTAAAACTTCCAGCATTTAAAGAAAAGCTAATTAATAGTCATTTTTCTATTCACAGAACTTTACTAATAATTTGTTTGTTTTTTAAAAAAAGACAGTCATTTGTTTTGAATATTTAAACTGGCTTTGGACAAGTAATGTCTTTAAACTCTGGTATTATAAACCTTCAAAATAATGATGACTGTTGTTTTGGATGGTGAGTCTTATACTTAGGAGTATTGCATCCAATTAAAGTTCACTCAGAGAGAAACACACATCAGTTATCATTATATGCAAGATATGTAGAGAAACTTAATGAAAAAAAGTATAAAGGAATTTAATAATTATAAACGTATGCAAGCGAATCCATATCGCATATTCAAATCTTTAGACAGAATCGTTAATACATTTGTCTTTGGTGTATTTCATTTTAAAAAATACATACTAATACCGAATCAAATCCTCGTCTACTAATATTTTTCATAAATTCGCATCTTACAGTAATATCACGTTACTGAACATTCAAAAACTAAAAGTCATTCTATTATACTTATATCAGATATCAGATCTATTATGCAATGTTTGTTTATATCGTCAGTATCACCGCTTACTTATCGTTTTTGCATACCACAATATAAAGAGGAAACTTCTCGCAAATGGTTATGGCCACTCACCATCGCTTACATATCGTCCTTATTAGTAGTGCAAGGAGGAAAATTCTCGCAAATGATAACAATCTGACGAGAAGTCGCTCAATTTTTATTGTCATCATATATATAAAGAAAATAACTAGTGTAGCATGCTGATATAAAATGTCGCTTCCTATCATTATCTAGATTTTCTGCCATTAACTCGGTTAATTCTCTACAGCTTTTTCTGCACTGGTCATCTGGGTAGGTTAAGCAATTGGCCATTTGGTGAAGTAATCTTGAGTAACTGGTTACAATCACTTTCTTCCGACTGTATGTCATTGAGTTTCCATAGTTCATGAAAAGCCCTAGAGATAGCAATCTTATTGAGTGGTTTCTGCATCAATTTGTGTAGTGCAGCTATTCGACTCTCCAACGTGTCTTTTTTCTTATCCTCATTACGAGCAACTATACGATACATTGGGAAGTCTTTACAGTAAAAGTATTTCATTAGACGACCATCTAGAGAAAAAAAAGTGTGAAAATATTATGTTAATTTTTTTGAAATAAAATTATAACTTACATGATAACAATGACATCCAGATAAAAAACAAAATAAACACTAAAAACCGAAAAAAAGCAAACGGATGTAAAAATAATAATGAAAAAGTAACTTACTATCAGTCTGACGATATGTCACACTGGGTGCAATCAACGAAATCCTCGAGTGAGCTTGAAAGCTTGCCCTAGGCAGAATCTTTCTCACGAACAAGCTCTTTCGTCTCGCGCACTCAAGTTCACTGGTTCTTGCGATATACTACTTTAAAGAAAACCAAGGTTTTTGTCTTCGATGGGAGAATCCTTTTCGAAAACTGTACGCTTCAGAACCGTACGTAAGTCATTATGTAGTGCTCAAAGGAAGCTTTCAGACAAGCCAAAAAATTTTGGATATTAATATAGAGGATATGGTAGAAAAGTAATATTAAAGATTTTATATAGTGATTGCTTTATCGAAAGTGCTGTCTTTTCTCTCTCGTTCAACTTTTTGACATTAACGCATTGACAGTTTAGTTTGAACAGGTTTTTCAAAGTTTTATTGCTAGTTCCTACGGTCTACACTACAAATAGCAACTCGTCCAATAAATAACTTTTTGTTTTATTGAAACGTTGTTTCGGTTAGAAGACGAGTGATTGGACAAATAAGAAGTACTATGGTTTAATGTGGTAACTTCAAGGCGAAAATCCTTTTTATTTTTTCAATAAAAATCTTTGTTAGGATGAAAGCGCAGATCCTCAAGTTTATGTTTATCAAAATATGCAGTAGTTTATGTGAAAGTCTGGTGGTTGTCTTAGAAGCGAAAAAAATATTTGGTAACGGCCCACCTTGATTTCTGGCGTCTAGGATTTTGTAGGATGCACGCTTCCTTCACCGGGTATGTTTGGTACTACGAAGACCCTATTCCGCGAGAATTGGGTCTCATTGAGTAAACTTAAACTTCAATGCTACATTGATTCACATTTATCAATCACGCACGTCCATTTCAGAACATATTAACGTTAAGAAAAAAATTATGTAAACGGTGCAAAAATCGGGATTGTAGATTAACTACGTTTTAAATTTTTTGTGGCAAATATTAAGTTGGCATAATTTGATCATTAGCCAAGTCCGATATCAAACTTTTCTATACCCCCCTTAATATTTTGAAATTCACCACGAATGATTTTATTAAGATTATCGGCGAGGAGTTTCGCATCCAATTCGGCAACGGTTGGAGGAGTTTCTACTGTAGAGTTTTTAAATTCATTATGAGTTTTCATCTACATCAACGAAATACAAATGAGATAAAGCCACAGTACAATATTATAGCTATTTATTTTGGTCATTGAGCTTCTTAGCAAAGTCTGCAAGCCTCATCGCCGGTCCTATTTCCAGCCCACATTCCTTGAAGTCTTGTTTATCCATCTTGAGGAAGTCGCAACCCGCAATTTCTCGTTCACTCGTAAAATCAATTAGTTTCTCCGTGTCCTTCTTTATGATTCTTTCAGTGGAATTATTTTTAGTATAAGTTTGCGGTAATGTTAACGTATGGTTATCGTAATTGCACATTATTTCATTAAGACCCGTAGAAGTAATTAGTAAAAATGTTTATACGATCACCCAAGTTTATTCTTACCACAAGCAAGATTTTTGTATTCTCCGCTTCAGCCTCAATTCACGCCTTCTTCGCCAATTCATCTGCCCCTTGATTACCACTATCAGCAACATAACCCTCCCCCCACAAACAGTTTATTACATAATGACAGATAATTATAAAATCTTTTTATAAAGTCTTCGTTACTGCGATTACTGTTAGATAACCCTCTAAAGTTTATCGTTTATGTGATGGTTGCCGATCATTTTCATATGGTCGAAGGGGGGTCGAGAGGATACGGTAATAACAATTTGACATAATTAAAGTTCTACACAACGTCAATGTTTGTTCTCATCTTTTAAACAATCATGAGTAGTTTTTAATCTACTTACTCATAACTATTACCTGCACAGGGTTATGATTGCTTTTATTCGTGCTTTACAAATGCGTAAACGAATGTTTAGTGAATTTGGTACGGTGAAAAACTCGTATATCTTCGTATGATAAAATTCGTACCCATCACTGTTAGCATTACTTTATTTATTACGGTAGTCAAATAATAGTAGTAATGTTATAATTGTGTTGTATTAAACGGCCAGTAGTAAATCAATACGCGATCCGTTAGCGCTCAATAATAAAAACGGGGTTTGATATGCAAAATGCCCCACGTGTAGGCCTTCGAAGGAAAATAGAGTACATAGGCAAACTCGATAATAATACCGTATAATTCCGAACATAAGCACCCCCCGAAAATAAGCACCTCCCCAAAATTTTTACCTCCGAAAATAAACACCTACCCCAAAATTCATCATTAATGTATTTCTGTCACTATTAGATCTATTTAGAAAATTCGATATTTTTTACTAATATGGTATTAATTAACACTAACTGTTGATTTTCTCAATTATGTCACACAAAATCTAACCTCCGAAAATAAGCACCCCCTATAGTCAAAGGGGGTGCTTATATTCGGAACTGCGGTAAGTCGATCTCTCGATGATTCAATTTTGGCCTAAGAAGGGGGATGGCTAAAGCGGGGGCAAATACATGAAATCATCAAATTAATAACAATTTTTTAATTAAGTTATTGACATTT